GTGTCATCCAGCCTGGGTTATAAGCTGAGCAGGGAAACTGAGCCCAGTTGGGCCAGAGGATTTAGCTGCTGAGAGCCAGCCTGTTAGCGCAGGCTATTGTGTCTAGAACCTCGGACAAGCCATCTGGGGACCTGGTTCAAGCCCTGGCTCTGCTGCTGGCCCGAGGCATCAACTTGGGCAAGTCCCATCTCAGCGAACTCTATACCAACTCTGAAAGCGATTGGGAGGATGAAGAGCCAGGTTGTGTGTGAATTCAGTGCACTCTGTCTCCCCACCCAGGTAAACAACAGTCTTTGCTCTCATTGGCACCACCAGAATCCTGCAGACAAATCTTGGGAGCAGGGGGCTTCCATATCTTTTCTGTTCTTGACTCCTGAGATGTGCATTCAGAGACCCCAGTTGGGTCACCTGTTTTGGGACCAACGACCTATGTCTGGTTCAGTCGCTGAAGCTGATTTCCCAGCTTCAGAAATGAGCAGAAGGGTCTCTCCAAGCATTATTCTTAGCAGCCTCTCTGTAATTATTGGTTACCACCCTCTTGCCACTATTCCATGTCATCTCAACAACCCCATGAAGTCAGTGCCCGGTGTACCACCGTGGCAGGTCAGGACCCTGGTGGGCACTGAGGCTGGTGAGTGTTGCCTGGGGACCCCTGGAGCAGGGGCTCCTTCACCCTCAGCCGGGCACACGCACACTGTGTGGTGGAGATTCTAGGGTCACACAGGTTCCCTCCTTGTGTCCTTAGAAGCTCCCAGGCCTGTGGCCTCAGAGTGATGCATCTGAGCTCAGTGCCCTCAGGTAGCGAGGAAGCAGAGCGGCTGAGGCTTAGAGAAGTGGCTCCTGCCTTTGGCTTAATGACAGCCGAGCCAGGCTGACTGGGCAACCTTGGGCAAGTCGTTGCACATCTTCAAACCATAGTTTCTCCATGTAGGAGCCAAAATGTACTATGTCCCTTGTTATTAGTGCTTTTGTGGCCTTGATGAGAACATGCATGGAAAGCCAGAAGCCCTGTCTGCCTGTGGAGAAGTACGTGTAGACCCGTGCTCTGTCCATGCCAACTTGCTTGGTGATTCAGCCTCGGCGACCTCAACTGCAAGTTGCAGATTATGACTCTGCTTGTGTGGCTGTAAGAGAATGTGGGAGTAGTGCATATTGAGTACTTAGCAGGGTTCTGGAACATTCTTGTGCTCAGTATAGGTGTGATCATTAAGTTTGATTGCAAGCATAGGACCCAGCTAGCCCAGGGCTCCTGTTCCTCAGGTGGCACCAGCGAGTGTTGACAGTGATGCTGTTTCCCGCATCTGCCTAACATAACCCCTCCTGCAGATTTAGACTGCTGGCTCTTTAGGCAGGGGAGCTCTTGGGGTGCCCTCTGACCCTCCCCATCATCCTTTCCCCCAGGAGACCCCTGAGTCCTCGCACAGCAGCCTCCCACCCCCAGGGACTGGCCTGTGATCCGCTTCCTCCTGGAGGCCGTCCAGCGTCCGTCAATAGCGCATTTGTTTGGGTCTCCCCCAGCTCCTGGGTTAAAATTTCGCAGGTGGGCGCTGCTCCAAGGTTCAGGGCTTTTGGCTCCCGGCATCAATGTTGGCTGGTGGTGCGGACGCTGGTGGGGTCCCATATTTTCTTTCTGGACCTCAGTTTCTCTCTCTCCCATCCATTGGCTGGACAGAACAGTGCTTGGTGAGAAACGGATTCGCAGGTGTGTGATCTCAGGCAGACCTCAGCGTCTCCATGAGAAGACGAGGCAGCAATCCCTGCCAGGTGGTGCTCTGGAAACGAACTCGGTGTATTCTGTTAGTGCCAGCGTGGCCAGGCATTAGGAATCCAGGCATATGCAGGAGGCCAGGGCTCCTTCCTTCCAGAGCTGGCGGCTGGGAAGAAAGGGTCTTAGACACATTGTCTGGTGATGATCAGTGAAGCAGCTACAAGTGCAAGATCCTCGGGAATGTCCCGAGGTTCCATAGGGACCGTGTGCATTAACTCCACGAGAAGCTCAGTCCTATCTAGAAGCTCCCACTTGGACATTGTGTGGTGGTGGCTGCGCTGCTGCTGCTGTTCTCCCTTCTCCCCCGACTCCCCCCAGGATGTCAGTGCTCGCAATGGAGCCCGTTCTAGAGAGGCTGCAAGAGAAGGCGTGGAGAAGACAGGGCTCTTCCCACCTGGTGCTCTGTCCTAGTCAGTACTCCCTCGGTCCCCAGTTCCAGAATCCCAAACGGTTGCTGCCTGCCAGGGGGATGCAGAGCCCCAGGTGGTGGGGTGGGTGGAGATGGCTGCCTTCTGCAGGTGCCAGGCCTGCTGCGGGATGGGGCACAGGTGGCAGGGCGCTCCAGCCCTCAGGCCTCTCAGCCTCAGTGCCAAGAGGAAAAGACTCCTCCAGCCTCACCCCAGCCCCAAGCAGTAGAGTCACCACTGCCACAGGAAGGCCAGCCGATGGTGCCACCTGCCTAGCTTGTCTCGGGTGCTTTGGGTGACCTTGGCGGCTGACAGGGTAATGTTTCTGCCACCCTGGGAGTGGAACAGCTGTCTGGGTGATGGGGCTCAGGCCTGCAGCCGAGCAAAGCCCCCGCTGGCTGTCTCTGTTCAGATGCCTGAAGCTTCCTCTGTGGCCACTGGTGCCTAGCGCTGCTCTGGGCCCAGCGGGCAGGGAGAATGCGGCCGCCTCCCTGCCTCCCGGCTCCACGAAGGGCTCAGCCCGCAGGTTCCACTCACCCTTTCCCCAGGCATATGGTGAAGCTCGCTGTGTCGGGCCCACTGGGTGTTCAGCAAATAGTCATGGAGTCGGGTGCCGACATTCCCCCCACTCCTTGCAGCCCACGCACATCTTTTCCCTCTCGGGGTGCCTTTCCCTCGCCTCCTCCTCCCAGAGTTAACTGGGACTCCTCTTGGGGTGTCTGCTGAAATGTCACTTCCAAGGAAGCTGGCCTTGACTCCCCCGTCCAGGGCAGGCCCCCGGCACAGGCGCCCAGCGCCCCCAGTGGCCCCTTTCCTTCCGAACGCTGCTCCCAGTTTCCTGACCTGGGTTTGCGTGCCTCTCCCTCTGGTGCTCCATCAGGACAGAGGCCTTGTCTGGTTTTGCTTTCCACTGACCCCTGAGTCACCAGCTACGGAGGGAATAGTGAGGGGCCGGGCTAAGCCCAAGAGCAGTGCCAGACACGACAGCCTGGTTCCTGTCCTCAGGGGGCAGGCCGTCTAGCTAGGAGGCCGGGCAATTAAAGCAGCATCAGCACAAAGAGCTAGTTGTTGGGGGGTTCTGGGGGGTGCAGAGAACCCAGGGAAGGCTTTGCAGAGGAAGCCAGGCAGTGAGGGGACAAGGCATCAGCTAAGTGGAGGAGAGTGCAGAGTGTGGGCTGTGGTGGCCCAGGGCGGCTCCCTCGAGGAGGGACGTGATGTGTGTACTTGGGGCGATGTGTGTACCTGGGGCGGGAGCAGTGTTTAGAGTACAAAGTAGAATGATTCATTGAAAGAGAGCAGACTAAGCAAAGGTCCAAAGGTGACCTTGTGCAGATGGCCAAGGCTGGAGTTGGGGTCAGTGGGTACCAACAAAGTAGGCTAGAAAAATGGTTCAGAATCTGGAGGCCTTGCATGATTGCTGGGAGAGATGGGACTTGTGGGTGCCTAGGGGTGCAGGGCACTTCTCCCCGCTGCCAGTGATTCCCCCTCTGGCTCTGGTTTCCCAGACAATACCAGCTGCTGGGCTCTTCAAGATCTGAAAGTGAATGAAGCCCAGGGAGGGTCACGCCCAGGGCCCAGGCACCCTCGAGGTACAGCTGGTATAGGGGGCTCATGGCAGGAGACCCTGGCCTGTGGGCCCGGGCCTGGAGCTGAGCAGAAACAGACTTTGTTCTGTTTGGGGACCAGGGCAGGTGAGGTCGGAGAAGGGGGTAATGACGATGATGATAGCGACTGCCTTTTATTGAGCAGTTACTACATGCCAGCCACCATACTAAGCCCGTTCCTCATCATTCCATGTTATTTTCACATAGCACTCTCTAGAAAGAATCTGAGGCACAGAGAGGTGAAGACACTTGCCCAGCTCACCTGCTCCTAAGCAGCAGGCTAAGACGTAGTGCGGGGTCTGTCTGTCTGCTGGCCTCTTACAGCTCGATCACCAGCCAGTGGCAGTGCCAGAACCTGGAACTGTGTGCCAGCGGAGGTGGGGGTGGGGTGGGGTGGGGGTGGAGATTTGGCACAGAGCGCACCTTTCAGATAGCAGGGGACACCAGTCTGTCGTTTCTAACGTCAGGGGATGTGACGGTTCTTGTCTGTTGGGGGTGGTGAGGAATAGTGCTGTGAACGTTCTGGTCTGTGCCTTAGGGTGAGCATTTATCCAGGCAGTTCTGCTGGGTTGGCTCTGAGGGTGGAGTCGCTGGATGGAGAGTGTCACACAATACCCCAGTCACACTCGCAGTTCACCTGCGTTCACACTCCCGCCAGGCATGTGGAGGCCACCATCGTTCGGTGTCCTCAAGCCGCGTCCCACTCTCCTGCTCCTGGGTGGGAAACAGCGCCTCTGCGTGTGTCACTGGTGATACGAGCCCCTGGTGCCTCTTGCTGGCCTTTGTGAAGTGCCTGTTCATGGCCATTGTCCATTTTTTAACTGGATACTCTGTCTTTCTTTGAAAAACTGATCTGCAGAAGGTGTCGAGATATTCTGGGTACAAGTTGTGTGCTGGCGCTGTTACTGGAAACGGCTCCTGGCCTGCAGCCGCGCTGTCCTCACAATTTCTTTTTTTTTTTTTAAAGATTTTTTAAATTATTTATCTATTTATTTATACAAGCACTGGGTACAGTCAGAAGCGCGGGAGGGTGAGAGAATCCACCAGAGCCAGAGCGGGGAGCAGAGCAGGCAGGGGGACCGAAGGACACTGCTGAGGGGAGCAGCGGGCGGCAGGAGAGGTCTGCGCGCCATGCGGGACCCTCACTGGTGGCCGGGGATCGAACCGGCGCTGCAGAGGCTGTGGGCAGCTTTGTAGCCCAGCGCTTAACCACTGCGCCACCGGGGAGGCCCCTCACATTTTCGTTGATGAACAAGTGGCATGTTGAGGCATCCAAGTCCTCTTTACAGTCTGTGGCTCTTGTGTGACCTAGTTCAGCGAGTCCTGCCCGCTCCGAAGTCACAAAGCAATAGTCTGAGTTTTGTTCAAGAAGCTGAGTTGCGTTACCCACACACAGAGGGCTGTGTCCACCTCACATTAATTTTTGTCTTTGTGTGCACAGAAGCTTTTGACTCCCATGCAGAGAGGCTTGCCACTTCCCTGTCAGAGTTTGCACCTTTTGAGTCCTGTTGAAATCTCTCCCCACTGTCAGGTCATGCAGATGGCAGGTGCCTGCACTTTCTTTAAACTCCCACCCAGCTCACCTGCCCAGAGAAGCTAATCCTGTGACTCTGATCTGGCCCCAGAGCTCTGCCCACCACAGCCCCCCCAGGACACTTCCACACCCCAAGAGAACCCCCAGCCCCACCAGCAATCTGCCTCCCGGCACTCGGCAGCCACCAGTGTGCTCTGGTCTCGAGGGATCTGCTTGTTCTCTTGGGACATTTGCATCCTGGACTCACAGTCTGGGCCACTTGGACAATTTTCTTTCCCTCTTAGCATTGCGTTTGCAACGTCCCATGTGGCCGCGTGGGTCAGGGCGTCTTTCCTTTATGGCTGAGCGATGCTCCCTTGGGTGTCTAGACCGTTTCGACTCACCCGTTCATGGGTCGATGGGTGTTTGTGTTGTTCCACCCCGGGGCTGTTTGGAATAGTACTGATGTGGACCCCGACATGCGGCTTTTCACATGGACCTAGATTTTTATTTCTCTTGGGGAGGCGCCTCAGTTCTTAACCACACACGGTATAAGATTTGGTGGTAACACGTCTGTGAAGCCCTGGGCCCTGGGGAGTGCTCACACAGGGGCAGCAGCTACAGGTTGTGCTGCACAGCAGGGGACACCCCACCATAGCTGTTGCAATTGTGAGGAGCGGATTGTAAAGCTCTTGTTCTCCCCACCCCAGTCTTGGGTCGCCGCATACACATCTGCCCCCATTGTGAAGGCACAGAAATGCGTGGATGTGACCTCCACACTCTTTTCAGGTAAATCGGAGAGAGCGGCACAGCAGAGAAGGGCAGGGAGGAGCTGGGAGTCCTGGCACCTGGCTCTGCAAGGCTTCCTTTTAGTGTGGCACCACAGGCCTCAGTTTCCCCACACAGAACATGGACCTCGGGCAGCTGGTGGTTCTGGCCCAGAGGCCTGGCTCACCCGGCTGCTTTCCTACCCCACAGGTTGTGGTGCTGCCAATGACCCTGTGAGTGCCGGGTACGGACCGCTGCCCCCCGGGACCCTGTCCTGGAGTGGCCTTCCTACCTGCCCAGCATGGCGTCCGACACTCCCGAGTCGCTGATGTCGCTCTGCACCGACTTCTGTCTGCGCAACCTGGACGGCACCCTGGGCTACCTGCTGGACAAGGAGACCCGGCGGCTGCACCCAGACATCTTCCTGCCCAGCGAGATCTGTGACCGGCTGGTCAATGAGTGAGCAGCTAGGGGATGCAGGGAGAGATCGGGGCCACTGTGCGTGTCCCACATGGGGGTGGCCATGGATACAGATGTGCAAGGGGTGTCCATGGGGAGATACTAGTGTGTCTGTAGTCGAAAGGGCATGCGTACTGCATTGGTCTTTGTGGAGGGGCGTGCACAGGGAGGAGCGGGAGTGAACTTCTGCAGCCCAGACTGTGTAAGTGTGAAACTGCAGGTGTGCTTCACACTTAGGAGAGGGCCGAGCAGCCTGCATGTAAATGGGAGTCACGTGCCACCCCATGTGCACAGGATGTGCGTGCCTCCCAGCACATGTCCTCAGACACCTGTGGGTCTACACACCAAGTGCCCAGCCATGGACCCATGACTAGTTTGAGAAACCTGCACCCCTTGCAAGGGGTCCCCCTCCTGGAAGAGCAGGGGTGTGATCGCTGATGTCTGGGAGCTTGGTCTAGATGTGCAGAGGGAAATGGTTAGACCAGACAGTTGCGTGTGTGTGTGGGAACCTGTGTGTGACTGGAGGACAGCGCCCGACTTGTCCCAGGGTTCTGCGTGTTGAGCGCGAGTCAGGCCCTCGCTGGACACTTCACAGACCAGAGTTAAGTCCATCTCACGGACAAAGAAACTGAGGCCGGGAACAATGGGTTACTCGTGTGAAGTTGCCCAGGGAGTAAGCGGCCTGTCAGGATTACATCCCAGAGTATCGGTCTGAGCCCCCAGTGTTTCCAGTGTTCCAGTGTTTCAGCCTAGCTGGGAACTCCAAACCCTTGGCTTCATTTTCCTGGGGTGGGAGGGAGTTGGAAGGGGCTGGTCAAGAAACCAGGATCAGGGTCTCTCCTGGTGGCGCAGCAGTTGAGCGCTGGGCTGTGAGGCTGCCCGCAGCCTCTGCAGTGCCGGTTCGTTCCCTGGCCACCGGCGAGGGAACCACCAAAAAAAAAAAGAAGAAACCAGGATCAAGGACGAAGCCCCAGCTTAAAGAAGGAGAGGCTTGTGGATGTGGTGGGCAGGCCTGGGGGGTGTGGGGCAACTGTGCACCTGGAGAGGAGGCTCACATGGACGCTTGTTGTGGAAGCACCTGTGGTGGTGTGTGTGTGTCGGGGGGGCCTGTGGGATTTGCTATTGAAAGAGGCCCCTTCCTCACCAGGAGGTCACCCAGGGAGTGGCCTTTGGAATCCGGGGCTGCCCTGAATCTCACCTGCAGGGTAGTCAGCATCGACCGGGAGGCGGAGAGACGGAGGTTGCTGCTGGGGATCGGCGGGAGCTTCGGGAGGGTAGGGCGCCTCCTGAGCAGGGCTCTCTGCTCCCCAGGTACGTGGAGCTGGTCAATGCGGCCTGCAACTTTGAGCCTCACGAGAGCTTCTTCAGCCTCTTCTCAGACCCCCGCAGCACCCGCCTCACCCGCATCCACCTCCGTGAGGACCTGGTGCAGGACCAGGACCTGGAAGCCATCCGCAAGCAGGTGAGCCCGGACCACCAGGCGCCGGGAGGGCCGGGCAGTGAGTCAAGGCAGGGCCGCGGGCCTCCAGCGCGGGACCCCAGGCCTCTCCCTGCTCTTCCACCCGTGTGCCCATCCCTTCCCAGGCCAGGCTGAGGGCCCCCATAACCTGAACCAGGTCTGGGGGTGGCAGAGGTGAGGCCAGTGTGCGACTGTTCCCAGGACCTGGTGGAGCTGTACCTGACCAACTGCGAGAAGCTGTCGGCCAAGAGCCTGCAGACGCTGCGGAGCTTCAGCCACACCCTGGTGTCCCTGAGCCTCTTCGGCTGCGCAAACATTTTCTACGAGGAGGAGAACCCGGGGGGCTGTGAAGACGAGTGCCTCGTCAACCCCACCTGCCAGGTGCTGGTCAAGGACTTCACCTTTGAAGGCTTTAGCCGCCTGCGCTTCCTCAACTTGGGCCGCATGATCGACGGGGTCCCTGTGGAGTCCCTGCTACGGCCGCTCAGCTCGCTGGCTGCCTTGGACCTTTCAGGCATTCAGACAAGTGACGCAGCCTTCCTGACCCAGTGGAAGGACAGTCTGGTGTCCCTTGTGCTCTACAACATGGACCTGTCGGATGACCACATCCGCGTCATCGTCCAGCTGCACAAGCTGCGGTGAGCTGCTAGCCCAGAGCTCGCCGGGGCGGGAGTGGGGAGGTGGGTGCCGGAAGTCCCAGAAGGTCCCTGAACCCCTGGCCAGGCAGAAGCTGGGGATGGAGGACACTGTCCCGTTCCTGAAACCCAATGTTTCAGCTGGACCAAGGCTGATCAGGGTACAGAGGCTTTTCCCCAGAATGCCCTGCAGCATTTGGGGCCGAAGTAGGCCCTCCCCTGCCATGGGCTGAAGGTGCAGGGGCCTACATGGAGCTCCAGCCATGTCCAGCTCCTGACCCATACCCATACCCTGTCTCCAGACACCTGGACATCTCCCGAGACCGCCTGTCTAGCTACTACAAGTTCAAGTTGACTCGCAAGGTGCTGAGCCTCTTTGTGCAGAAGCTGGGGAACCTGATGTCTCTGGACATCTCTGGACACACGATTCTGGAGAACTGCAGCATCTCCAAGATGGACGAGGAAGCGGGGCAGACCAGGTGGGGGCCCACTCACCATGGTTGCCAGTGGGTGTCATCAACAAGCTTTACCTGTGCCAAGTGCCGTGCTGGTGCTGGAGATAAAGCACTCAGCCCTGCCCATTTAGTATGTGTGAGCTTGCAGGGACAGATAAGGGCCATGGTGGGGAAGCACAGGGCTCTCGGGCTGCCGTGAGGATCAGGAAGGAGGAGGGAAGGAGACTGGCATCAAGGTGTCCTGGTAGCTCATTCTGAGTTTGCTTGGGGAAAGGTGTTCTCGCAGAGGGAATAGCATGTGCAAAGGCTGGAAGAGGCGGGAGATTGGCAGGCCTAGACTGGCTGGAGCCCAGAGCATCATGTCAAGGGCCCACCATGTGTAGGTGTCACTGGGGCTGGTTGCTTCATGGGTGGGTGGGTTGAGAGGTCTGCTCGAATCAGCCATGGCGCCTCCACACTGAACAGGGTTTGGTAGATGAGCATGGTGGTCAGCAGGACCTAAAGGTGACACATCCTCACCATAATGGCAGGTGGTATATTCCGAAGTTGGCTACCACACCTCCCAAACTGCATGTTTTAGAATGTGCCTTTGCTGCCCTTCCGTGAAGAGGCGAGGTTGATGGCCCTGAACCTTAAAAAGAAAAAAGAAGATGAGGCTGGAGGGCTTAGAAGTGGACCCCAAGTACACACCTAGGCACCTCCAGGGAGAGGCGCTCCTGTGTGTGGAACTGGGGCAGCCCAGGCCCATGCTTCTGACCTCAATCCCCTCTTTCCTCAGCATTGAACCGTCTAAGAGCAGCATCATGCCTTTCCGGGCTCTGAAGAGGCCCCTGCAGTTCCTTGGACTCTTTGAGACCTCCCTGTGCCGCCTCACTCACATTCCGGCCTACAAAGTGAGGGGATGTGGAGGAAGGGACCACTCGGGACCCAGGGAGAATGGGAGGGGTTTGGGTTAGAGCGCCAAGCTATCTGCTGTGGGATCTGGGGGGTCCCACCATGGCCACTTGTGGGTTGTTCTGAGCATGCTCCATCCTCAGGTAAGTGGTGACAAAAACGAGGAGCAGGTGCTGAACGCCATCGAGGCCTACACAGAGCATCGGCCCGAGATCACCTCAAGGGCCATCAACCTGCTTTTTGACATCGCACGCATCGAGCGCTGCAACCAGCTCCTGCGGGCCCTGAAGGTCAGCCCCACCCAGCCACCTGGCTCCTGTCCATCCCCACCTGGAGGGTGTGACCCTGTCCCTTCTTCATCCCCAGAGCACTAGCCGGCCAGCCTCTGGAACCCCCCCTCACCCCCCAGGCATGGCCTTGTCCCAGTTTCTGCTCCTCCTCTACTTCTGCCCTCAGAGGCAGCCACAGGGTAGGCCCTGCCCCTAGGACTTGCGGAGCCCCAGGCATGTCCCTGGGGCCACGCTCTCCAACTGGGCCCTGCCTGTCTCCGTACAGCTGGTCATCACGGCCCTCAAGTGCCACAAGTATGACAAGAACATTCAGGTGACAGGCAGCGCTGCCCTCTTCTACCTGACCAATTCCGAGTACCGTTCTGAGCAGAGCGTCAAGCTGCGCCGGCAGGTCATCCAGGTGGTGCTGAATGGCATGGAGTCCTACCAGGAGGTGACGGTGAGCCCCTGCCCGCTAGGGCCCGCATGCTCTGGCCGATACAGCCCTCCTGCTCACTTGCCCTGTGTCCCAGCCTTTCCTCACGGTCCCTAGGGTGCCATGCTTGCTCTCACCCTTTCTGGCCTGATTCAGTCCTGTCCCCTATTCCCACCCCTGGCCGTTTCACCCCCAGACTCGGGGCCCCATACCCAGCCTATCGCCCTTGGCTTCCCTCCACCCGGGACCCTGTCCTCCTGCCTCTGGACTTTGCTCCTGCCAACTCCTCAGCCCTTCTGCCTAGTAACACCTGCCGGGGGGTTATTTTCAAGAGCCACTTTTATGATAAAGGTAGTAACAATTTCTATAAAGAAAATAAAAATCACCCATAACCACGCCACCCAGTTAGGCTCTACCAGTATTTTGGGTAGCCGCCTTTCTGGATTTGAGTCAGGCATGTCTGTGTAGTCAGTGGGCACATACTGTGTGCACTGTCTGTGCATTATGGGTCATGATTTCCCAGTGTCTCATAATGTAAACATCTCCCATCTCAACAAACACTTTTACAATAAAATTGTTGAGTGTTTCTCTTCTGACTACAAACATAAATACCTAAGGCTTAGAAAACAAGCACATTCAGCAATACAGAAATTCACTAGAAAGTGGAAATTCCGAGGCGTCCCTGGTGGCACAGGGGTTAAGCACATCACTGTGAAGCTATCTACAGCCTCTGCAGCACCAGTTTGATCCCTGGCCGACCAGAGAGCTGACCCACATGGCGCAGCAGACCTACCTCTCCTGTCTTGCCCGCTGCTCCCCTCAGCAGTGTATTTCAGTCAGTCTGCCTGTTCTGATCCCCACTCTGTCTCTGGTGAATTCTCTCACCCTCCTGCACCTCTGGCCTGTACCCCAGTTCTTGTATGCATAAATAAATAAATCTTTAAAAAATAATAAAAAAAAAAAGTGGAAATTCCCCATCCAGTGTTCCTTCCCAAACAGCTAGTTGTAGTGGATCAGCAGCGTGCTTGCTGATGTCAGCATAATAGTCAGGCTCCTCTTCAGGGGAGGCCACTCTGGTGCCAACTCTCCTGGGGCTCAGAGATCAAGCTCCCCCTCATTGGAGAGCAGGACAGCACTCCCCTGGATGCAGGGGCTATTGTTAGTGAATCAGCCCATGGTTGAATACTTAGGTTGTTTTTTATTGTTTGCTATTTCAAATAAGGCTTTGCTAACTGTACTGAATTAATCATCTTTACAACATGTGTCTACAAGTAGAATTGCTGGGGCAGTGGGTATATACGTGTTTTTTTAAAGCATTTGGTATATATTCTCGAATTATCCTTTAGAAAGGCTGTGGTGGAGACATAGCCTCTGCCTGGATGAGGCGGTCACTGCCCCACAGCCTACAACTCCATCCAGACCTCAGAGCAACTGTTTTTTCTCCATTGAGATCAATTTTATAATCAAGTAAAAAGGGTGCTTTTTTAAGGAAGAAAGTTATTTGAAAATTAGTAAGCAAATTAATAAAACCAGTCAAAGAAATGGAAATGAAAATAACAAGATAGCACATTTCAACTCAAGAGATGGATGACACCGCGCAGTGATAAAGGTGGGAGAGAAGACCCCTCTTGTGCACCCCCACTGGTGAGCTAGGAATGATTCCACCTTTTGGGAGGCAGAACCTGCCAACACTCTCAGTGCATTGTTGATTTGACCTAGCTGTTCCACAGTTAGAAATATTCTTAAAGGAAAAATATACACGTACACCACCCTTGCTTGATTAAATAGAAATCAGAAGGAACTAGAATTTTAACAATAAAAGATCTGGGCAAGTTCAATGTGGCCCCCCACGGTGGGATATCTTGGTCGAGCTGTACCTCCTAAGGTGTCCACTGCTTGCTGCTGCGAGAGAAGGTATTTGGGACCAAGATGTATAACATCCCTTCTCCCCATTCTCTCTACTCCAAATTCATGTTTATATTTGCCTGGTGAAAACTCTGGAAAGATGTCCACTAAACTTTTAACAGTCACTACTTCTGGGAACTAAAAGGGGGACTTGAAAGTTCTGCTCAGATAGTTTTATTTGCACGTTTTACATGAAGTAATTGCTTTTATCATTGAAAATAAATTTTTTTCTCAACAAACTAGGTATATTAGGGACAAAAAGATAATCAAGGATATCCTCTATATAATTAATGGAGTATAATGAGCTGGCAAAAGCTAACAATAAAAAAGAGGAAATTAAATTATAGGAAATGCACTGAGAATACTGTAAAAGGAAATAAGTCCACAGATGACGCAAAGAAAAAAATGAGGATGTGGATCAACTAGACCTCTTACTGCTGGTGGGAGTGTATACTGGGACTGACACATTGGAAGAGTCTGATGTTACTTGGGGAAGTTGGAGACATGTACACCTTGTGACCTCAATGCTCCACCCAAGTGTGTCTTCCCTAGAGAATCCCACATGTAAAAAGCAGGAAACATATACAAGACATTGTTCCAAGTGGCCAAACACTGACGTCCACCCAAACACCTACTGACAATTGAGCAGATGAATGGATTTGGAATACTATACTGCAATGAAAAACGAATGCATTTCAGACACCTGTATATAATAATGGTTAACCTTGCAAACCTTTATTGAATGAAAAAAATAAGATGCTGGAAAATCACTCAAATAGAAAACAGGGAGAGGAGTTTATGATTAGGAAGGGGCACGTGGGAATTTCTGGGTGGTGGCAATGTTCAATTTCTTGCACCAGGTGGTGGTCACATGGTTGTTAGCTTGTTTGCTTTATGATTAGTATAAAGCTGTACATTTATGGGTTTTGTACTCCTATATGAATATTACATTCCATGTTCTTTTAAATGTTTTTGTTAAAAAGCCTTGCAGTCTCCTCTTCCAGAAAATCTTCCTGGACAGCCACAGTTCTGGAAGATATCACAGTTCTAGAGAACCTGAGTCCAGCTCCTGAGTTTGCCCTTGACCTTGCTCCACTTGTGTCCTATCCTGATCCAGGTCCAGCGGAACTGCTGCCTCACCCTCTGCAACTTCAGCATCCCCGAGGAGCTGGAGTTTCAGTACCGCCGGGTCAACGAGCTCCTGCTCAGCATCCTCAACCCCACGCGACAGGATGAGTCAATCCAGCGCATCGCTGTGCACTTGTGCAATGCCCTGGTCTGCCAGGTGGACAATGATCACAAGGAGGCCGTGGGCAAGATGGGCTTTGTTGTGGTGCGTGCAGGCGGGCTGCCCCTCCCCCATCCTTTCTCATGAGGATCTTCCAGGAGGACCTGGGCCAGGTGTGGGAAGGGAGGGAGAGGGTGTACTGAAGCACAAAGGATTTAGGCTAGACCAAAGGATGAACTTCCTGACAGCACATGTTGCTTCCCCAGAACACTGTCATCCTCCCACATCCCCTCCAGCCCCTCCAAGTCACTCCTGCCTCTCCAGACAGCATCCCAGCGGGGATTAAATAAGTATCTGAGGGAGTATCCAGTTAGCATCAGCCTCCCTACTGGGCTGTGAGCTCTGAGGGAAAGATGCCATGCTTGTTTCTTCGGTCCTCATGTCCCCAGCACCTCCTTGCACGGGGCTGGGGGCACTGTGTGGAGGTAATGTTTGCTGAAGACAGGAAGCAAAGAATGGGGAAGGAACTAGAGTGCATCCAGTCTCCTCCTCTTTTTGTCTTGGGGGCGGTGAGGCTCTCAGAGAGAAAGGTGGACCCACAGCCACACAGGACTGGGAACTGGCTGGGACTGGCATTGGAGTCTCCTGATGCCAAATGCCAAGGGTCTGTGGATTGCACTTCTACAAACAGCCTCCCAAATAGACTGGCCTGTTGGTCTCGTCAGGATGTATTACCAGGAATCAAATCACTGACTCTCCTCTTTCTACCTTGGTTTTTGGGGAACATGGGCCCCAGCCAGTTCTCTTCTCTACCCACAGACCATGCTGAAGCTGATTCAAAAGAAGCTGCTGGACAAAATAGTAAGTTGGGTCTTCATGGAGCCACCTGCCCTTGGCCCAACCTGAGCAGGGTCTGGATTGCCCCAAGGGTGTCCCTGTTTGGTTGGGGTGGCCCCCACTGGGTGCCGGGAGCCTATAGGGCCTGTGCAGGCGAGCCCCTGCTGAGCCCCCCTTCACCCTCTAGTGTGACCAGGTGATGGAGTTCTCCTGGAGCGCCCTGTGGAACATCACAGACGAGACGCCCGACAACTGCGAGATGTTTCTCAACTTCAATGGCATGAAGCTATTCCTGGACTGCCTGAAGGTACCACAGCTGCCGCCCCACCCCCACCCCCAGCCAGCCTCTCACCCACCCCTTTCTACTCCCCCCAACCCAGGATTTGCTGCCCACATTGCTATAGGGATCTTCGCTGACCCAGCTGGCCTAGCTGGACCCTCCCAGAACCCCTCCCAGGGAATCCCAGCCTGGGCCTCTCAGCAGGGATGGCTCAGACCCCTGGTCTGACAGGTACCCACTGGGACGTCCACTGGGCAGAGTTCTGTCCAGTTTTGTTCTAAAGCCCACCCATTATTTTCTCACTCTGGTTTCTGAGAACTAGTCCCTTAAATAATCTGAGCTTTGGTGACTAGGATCACGTGTGTCCCGCTCAGTTATCAGGGCAGGTCTCTGCTCAGCCTTTGATTCTGTGGCAAGGAGACACATCTTTTCAGTCACTTAGCGTGTGTACCCAGTACTGTGCTAGGTGCACTAGAAGGGAGGAGGGTGGCATGTGACACCCTCTCTTTGTCCGGTGAGAATGACAAGATGAAATCCCATAAAGCTTTTAGGTTAACAATACTAGAAAGGTAGTAATCAGAACAAATTGATATGGCTCTGTGGCTCTCCTTTTGCCAGGAATTTCCAGAGAAACAGGAACTGCATCGGAATATGCTGGGACTCTTGGGAAACGTGGCAGAGGTGAAGGAGCTCCGGCCCCAGCTAATGACGTCACAATTCATCAGTGTCTTCAGGTTGGTACCACTCTCCTTTCCCTTTTTACCTTGACTGCCAGGATGCTCAGAACCTGGGTTTCTGAGCACGTAGGTTATAAATGTCATCTCCTTCCCATAATGTTGTTTCTTATTCTTTCAGTTCTCCATAATGGTCCTGTTACAGGACCTCAAATTCCTTTTAGAAATTGTTTGGGCATGGATAACACATGATAAAGAAATAAAGAGGACCTCTGGCATCTGGTTTGTCAGTGGGAATTCAGCAGTTGGTGTCTGAGAGGGGTTTGGGGGCTAGGACCACAATTCTCTCTTCTTGGCAGCAACCTGCTGGAGAGCAAGGCGGACGGCATCGAGGTTTCCTACAACGCCTGCGGTGTCCTCTCCCACATCATGTTTGACGGGCCTGAAGCTTGGGGCATCTGTGAACCCCAGCGGGAGGAGGTGGAGGAGCGCATGTGGGCCGCCATCCAGAGCTGGGATATCAACTCACGGAGAAATATCAATTACAGGTGCGGAGTGGGGGGTGGGGCAGTACTGGCCTGGGCAGAGACTCTGGCCTTCCTTCCAGCCCCCTGGCGAGGCCCACACACAGCACATACCTCCCCTGCGCAGTGCAGCACACAATCCAAGCACATCAGCACATGTCCCCAAAGCCTGCTGCTTAGAAACATCTGATGTGTGTTTGTGGGGCAGAAAAGGAGAAAACACAATCATGCCCAAAACACAAGCGTTGCTAACCTCGCTCCCGGAGAGCACCCTGCTAAACAGCTGCTGTCAATCCATGACCCTCAGGTCTGCATGTCCATTTTTCAGACTTTGGAACCATGGCTCCCAATGGGCAGTCAAAGGGCACCAGAGGACAGCCACCCCATCCTCGGCTTCAAGGGCGCCCGCGCCCTCCCTGCCCAGCTGGGTCTCTCCAGTTTCTTCACTCCCTCCTCACGTGTCCGTGACCTTTCTCACAAAGGAGGTCCCTTTGTGCGCTGGCCTAGGGGTGAAGGGACAGATGCCCCTTGGTCCCTTGCCCCCTGGCCTGAACATGGTTTGTCCACAGGACTCTTCAGAGAGGGTCTAATGCCACCCCTGGCATCACACATGACCTTAATTTCTCTTCCTACAGGTCGTTTGAGCCAATCCTCCGCCTCCTTCCCCAGGGCATCTCTCCTGTCAGCCAGCATTGGGCCACCTGGGCTCTGTACAACCTTGTGTCTGTCTACTGTGAGTACCTGCATGCCCTTTGTTCAGTCACGAACCACTCATCCAGCTGGGGGCTAACTCGCGCTCGGGGAGGGTACAGTGGGACAGAGCATGCGCAGAGCTCCGAGTGCACTGCAGCTCAGGCATTCCACGAGCCAGCCCCACTCGTCGCCAGAGGCAGGCCTGCTCTCCAACTTGCTGTTACTTTGAGCAAGTTTCTCAACTTCTTTGTCGCATTTTCCTCACCTTGAAAATGGGATGACAACAGCACTTGCCTCAGAGGATTACCTTGTAATCAGACAAGGGCCTAGCTCGGTAGCCGGCACCTGCCCGCTGTCCAGCAAGCATCCACCTTTGTGGCTATTACTCGAGATTCGCCTCGCTGCGCTGTAGCACTGTATCTCCAAGAGATGGCGTGGCCCCAAGGAAAGCCCTGAGCTGGCACTCCCCGAGCTAAGCCTTGGAGTGACCGTGGGCAGGTCACTTCACTTCTCTGTACCTCAGTTCTTTTATCTATGAAATAGAGATTGTAAGATCAGCTCTTGGGCTCCCCTGCTGGTGCAAGGGGTTAAGCACAGCGCTGTGAAGCTGTCTGCAGCCTCTGCAGCACGAGTTTGATCCCCAGCTGGCCAGGGAGCTACCCACATGGCGCAGGAGACCTCTCCTGTCTCACCCACTACTCCCCTCAGCAGTGTATTACAGTCTGCCTGTTCAGCTCCCCACTCTATCTCTGGTGAATCCTTTCACCCCCCTGCATCTCTGGCTTTTACCCCAGTTCTTTTTTTTTTTTTTTTTTTTTTTTAATAGAGGCATGTTTTTCTTTATTTATTTGTTTGCTTGTTTGTTTGTTTTGTTTATACATGCACTGGGTACAGTCAGAAGCGCGGGAGGGTGAGAGAATTCACCAGAGCCAGAGCGGGGAGCAGAGCAGGCAGAAGGACCGAAGTACACTGCTGAGGGGAGCAGCGGGCGGCAGGAGAGGTCTGCGCACCATGTGGGACCCTCCTCCGGTGGCCGGGGAGCAGCCGGGGATTGAACCGGCGCTGCAGAGGCCGCGGGCAGCTTCGCAACCCAGCGCTCTACCACTGCGCCACCGGGGAGGCCCTACCCCAGTTCTTGTATGCATAAATAAATAAATCTTTTTAGCAACAACAAAAAAAGAACAGCTCCTGCCACACAGCTGCCAGAGGCCCATGGAAATGCCCATGTTCCCCAGGGAGCATAAATTCCTGTACCAGGCACTAGAACGTTCTTTGACAGAGCGCAAACATGAAACCAACAGGAAGGCAATGGTGGTTCTAGCCTGACCGATCACCAGAACCCCTTGGTGGTATTTTGTTAGAAATACAAATAGGGATCAGTCCCGTGTCTGTGGAATCAGGATGGCCAAGAGCAAGACTGTGACAAAGATTTCTCAGAATTGTCATGTGTAAAGACCACTGGTTTGGGTGATATTTTCCATAGGGTGAGCTCCGGCCAAAAATGCAGTGACTGCGTAGCCAAATAGGGAAGAGCATGCCCCAAGGAGCCGCCCCTCCTTCTCCAGGGGCTCGGCCTGGGCCCGCGGCTCACCTGCGCATCAGTGCCCCCACCCAAGTCTGCGTCTTCATCCCGCCCCTCTGGAAAGGCAGTCCTGGCAGCCAAGGTGGGTTCCTGGGCTGCGGGCTGATGGAAGGCCCACCTGATCACCTGCTGTTGCACCCCCCCACACAGCTGACAAGTACTGCCCCCTGCTGATCAAGGAGGGAGGGATGCCCCTTCTGCGGGACGTGATCACGATGGCCACTGCACGGCCGGAGACCAAGGAAATGGCCCGGTAAGCCCAGCAGGATTTCTCTTTGGAGTCTTGATTTGGGGGAGTGAGGGACACGAGGTCCCTCTGGTGGACAAGGATGCTGAAATGCCAGGGCACAGCTGGAGAGTGGTGTCATTTGGGCCACAATGTGGCCAGAAAGACCTGTTCCGAACAGAGCATCATCGCTGCTTAATTTTCTTTTATTCTCAGTAAATTCCATCCTCTCATCACTGGGCGTTAAGCACACCAGTTCAGGATTTTTTATAATTTTAGTCAAGTCACTGCACCCAAAGAGAGGTCGGGTGGTGCAATGCACTGTAGGAGGAGACGGGCAGAGCCGGGGCGGGGGGTGGAGGTGGGCGAGAGGGGGCCGCCGAGGCCCTTGCTGCAGACACAACATGTCTAACCCAGCTTGGCTCTGCCCCTCCCTGCAGAGGCTGTTGGGTGCTCCCTCTCACTGTGGGCAGTAGTGGCCCTGTTGGCTCCAGGGTTAGGATTTGTTCTAGAAGGGCGCGGAGTTAAGTTCTAAACTGGAGCCCAAAGGCTCCCAAGGGTGACTCGCTGAGCAGGAGCAGCACCTCGGCCTGACAGAAGGACCGAAACATTCATTCACGGACTTCCCTGCACTTGAGAGGGGGCAATGAGCAGTTCTCAGATGCGCCCTGGGAAAGGGCCACCTGGAGGGATTGCTGAGATGTGGAGGGCCTGCGCCCGCTTTCCGCCTCCAGGGGTCCCAGGAGTTGGGCCCTCGCACAGACAATTGGGGATCCCGGCCAACTTGAGATGTTCTGGGTAAGACCCACCCGTAACCCGGGAGCCGCCCTGTAATGCCTGAGCAGCGTCTCCGAGCGCCTGACAGCAGCAGGAGTGGCATGAGAGGGCATTCGGAGAGGTCACACTGCCCGTCACGGCTCCTGTCCCCTGCAGGCGTCCCTTACTTCCCACAAGGCCCAGGGACACTCGATAGCCCCAGAGGCAACAGTGAACCCCAACCCAGCCCAGAGGCTCAGGGCCCGGGGATACCTGTCAGCAGCAGGTCAGCTGTTCCCAAACGGCACATCAGAGTCACCCAGAGATCTGAGTGGTGGTTCCCAAACGTTGGATCTGGGTCTCTTGGTGACTGATGTGCCCCAGTTTGGGGATCACTAATATCAGACTGTGAGGAAGAAAAAGGGCTGGTGTGTGCATGGAGGGTAAGATGCAGCTGAAGAAAGGGCTGAGGATCTGGAACTGGTTCTGGGGAGCCCCGACACTGCGGGGCTGACGGGTGGGGTAGGAGGAAGAAGGGGAGATTGGGTCCTGATGGTACCCCTTCCTGGGTACCCCGCACCGCGGCCACCTGTCATGCCATCTCAGTCAGCACCTCAGCTAACAAACCCAGCGACCTGGCCCCAGAGGGGCCGACCGCCCTCCAGCTCTGTCCCGTGTTGTCCCCAGCAAGGTGATCGAGCACTGCAGCAACTTTAAAGAGGAGAACATGGACATGTCCAGATAGAGGCCCGCGCCAGGCTACCGCCACTCTAGACCTCGAGGCCAGGGAAGCGCTCGCAAGCAGCCCAGCTGGCAGACCCCAGCGGGGGCTCCCACAGGATGAAGGGACACGGGGACTTTTGCACAAGCGAAGCTTTTCCTTAACGTTAGTGAGATATATATATATTATATATATATATATACATATATATTATTTTTTTTTTTTTGGTTAGGAAGTGTGAAGTTTTGTGTGTATGATTTCCGTACAAAAACAAAAGAAACACTCCCTGAGTCCTTGCAGCTTTCTTGGCCATTCTCAAGCCCCATCTCAGAGCCGTCATCGCTGCCACACTCACTCCTTCCCCGCCAGGTGAAATGCCTCTCACGTGAGTGTCCGGTCCTAGCCCAGCAGCCTCAGACCCTGGCCTCGCTTCCTTTAAGAGAGGTCGCAGGCTGTTAGTAACCCCCCAGCGCCCTAACCCACTTCCCCACCCCCGCCAAAGCCTGGGGACCCCATCTGGGTTCCTGTGTGCGGCTGATGGCATTTGGGGATTAAAACTAACCCCACTGGCTGTTCAGAATGCCTTGGTGCTTCCGGCTGTGGGTCCTCTGGGGCAAGGAAAAGAGCCAAGCCTCCATCTAGGCGGCCTCAGCCCCAGAGGACCCCCAAGGAGCAGGGTTCACTGCGCCCTGTGGCTCTCGGGCCAGGCCCGCCTGAGGCCATGCTGCTATGGAGGCTGCCGCCTAGTCTCCCCAGGTCCCAGGCTGTGGAAGGCCCAGCCCAGGGCTGGTCAGAACTTGGGCAGATTCCACTGCCCTTTCTGCCAAACATATCCATAAGCTGCCCCCAGCCCAGAAGCTAGCACTTCCGGGATCAGGGCCTGCTCTCTTCCTCCCCAGCCCTTCATCTTCCCGCAGCACCCACGGTGCCCAGGCACCCCACCAGCAGAACTGAGCCTGCCTCATTCACCCTGCCTGCCCTGCTGCCCAGAGGACCCCCACACCTCTCCCAGGCAGGAGGTCCCTACTCCAGCCTTCCCCGGGGCAACAGGCAGATACTTCCAGACCAGCAGCCCCACAGCCCCACAGCCCCTCCCGAGGCCCTCCTGCCCTGCCCCGCGGCTTTCCCTTGGAAACCTGTGCTGTGTTCAGAGAAGTGAGACGTAACTATATCTGGAACTCTCCTGTGGCCTCCCTTGATGTAACTCTGAATTGCTCCTCCCTCCTGGGGCAGGGGTGAGGAGGCCCCTCCGGAACAAGGCCTGGGGAGCAGAGCCGACTGCAGGCAACTCTGGGGGATGACTTTTTCTTCCTCTTTCCCTGGGCCTGTTTTGGGGTTCTCCTAGCATTTCTTCCCCCAGGCAAAACAGGTTGGGGGAACAGGCAGGGGAGAGGCGCTCGGCTTTTCTCCTACGGGTGTCTTCCCTACAAGCCCCAGGAGGGGCAGTCGCCCTGTGCTCCCCCCGCATGGTGGTGGGCCGCCTTTGCCCCCCTTACCTGCTCACAAGGCTGAGCCAGACCCCAGGCAGAGCTCACATCACATCGCTTTACCGCCGGGGGCCGGGGGAAATGTCTGTACTTGGCGATGTCACAGAAATACATTTTTGTGCAAAGTGAACAAGAGTGTGGTGTCTTTTTTGTGGACGGGGGTGTCAGGAGCGGGCCTTGAGTGTGGGTATCTGCGGCAGGCGGGGGCCTTTTCAGTGGTCTCGTGTGTCCAGCCCCAAGTGCCTCTTGACAGCAGCGTGGGGACCAGCGGCAGACTCGGGCTGGGGCACCTGCTTCCTCCCTGTGCTCTCCACACTGCTGTGCCCAGACACTGAGGGTACAGCTGGTGACTGGACCGGCAGGGCTCCCGCCCAGGAGCCCAGCACAGTGGAGACAAATGCCAAGTTGGACTTCCCCCGAAATCGCACATGCCCTGTAGGGACGCTTGCCCCTCCCAGCAGCCCAGGGACACAAGCTCAGAGACAGCACCGCGTGGCTGGGGAGCGCATGGGGGTCAGGGAAGGTGCATGGAATAGGCCGCAGTGCTCAGGAGGGGAGACAGCACCTGCACGTCCCATGCAGGTGGGAGGCTTCTCACAAGAGGAGGCAGTAAGAGGAGGCTGCCCGTTAATGGGTGCACAGGGGAAGAGCCTGTGGACAGATGGCTTGCAGGGAGAACCACGAGGAAGTCACTGTGGCTGCAGCCTGTGGAAGGCACAGGGGACGAAGTCGCTGGGATCCAGTCACCGTGACCAGATCCCAGCCTTGCCCAGGACCGTCCTGGCTTACACCTGTTGTCCCAGTGTAACTATCAACAGTGCCCTCAGTGCCCCTGGGGTGCCACCAAGGCACCACCCAATTGGGATCCTTAAAGAACAGCTTGGGTGCTAGTACCAGATCAAGGGGAACCACTGCCACACATGCCAGGTGGGTGTGCCAGTCCCTCCTTGACCATCCACAACCAGGCTCCTCTGAAACCCCTTGCCCACTAAGCTTCAACCTTGGCCTTTGGAAACTATAGACACTCAGCACAAGCAATGTCATCCACTTCCTTCTCTTCACATTAAAACACTGACATAGTTTCCAACAGCTCAAAGTCTTACCTCTAGAATGATCCTAGCCCTCCTTAATTGCCCCCCAAGAAAGCGCAATCCTGCCAAAATAATTTGTTCTTTGTGCTTGCCAACACCGGGCGCTAGGCCCTTTGCCATCCCGCAGAGCATTTACTACAAAGACTTTAAATCGTGAGCCCTTCCCCTCTTGCTCTGACATGTATTTGTACCTTCAACGATGCAGGTCTTTCTCAAGGACCTGAACAAATCCTCTAAAATAGAATCATCAGAAAGGACTAACTTAAAAAGAAAAGAAAAAAAAAAGGACTAACCAGTTATTGCCGGCAAGCACACAGCTGGCCAAATCAGCCTTTACAGACTGCCTGTCATTTTTCTCTTCCCAGAGTCTTTTTTTTTTTCTTTTTTTTTAAATTTATTTTATTTATGCATACAAGAACTGGGGTACAGGCCAGAAATGCGGGGGGGTGGGGGAGAGGGTTCACCAGAGACAGAGTGGGGAACAGAACAGGAGAATTGACTGAAATCCACTGCTGGGGGGAGCAATGGGCGAGTCAGGAGAGGTCTGCTGCGATCGAACTCATGCTACAGTGGCTGCGGATAGCTTCATAGGTTGCGTCTTAACCCCTTGTGCCACCAAAGAGGCCTCCCAAAGTCTTTTCAAGCCCCCTCGTTTCTCCTCAACAACTTCATATTCCCTTTGAAACTCCCAGTCACCTCTGTATAAACTGAAGTTGCATTTCGTTCACACACTGGATCCTCTTCCCAGTTTCTGAATTAGTATATTACTAATTGAAATCTGTCCTTACCACTTTAGTGTCCGACTGTTTACCTTTGACACCAGCACAGAGATCGACTCATGGAAACCTCAGAATTATTTATTAGGTGGCCAGTGTACTGGAGATCCCAATTCAGCACACAAAGTCATGCAAACACTGCAGTAAAGACAGAGTTCCAAGTGACAGACTAGTTATTCCAGGTTAGTCAAACATGGGGGGAAATTCACTGACAAATGCAACTGGGAGCTTAGCGTTAACATTAGCTTCAGGCATAGCTGGATCTAGGGGCCCAGACAATGTTGTTACAACTTTCTCACTCCCTCTTGCAATACTGCTTCTCTGTCTCTTTGTAATTGGCCCTGCCACCCTCTCTCTCTGCATAGTGTATACAGCTGCCAATAGCAATTAGAGGCTTGAGATCCAAAAAAATGCCCCTTTCTCTCTGAGCCTCTATGCAGAAATCTCATGGATTGATTCTGATTGGCCCTGTTGAATCACACGCCCACCAACGACCATTCAGTGGGTACAACATGGGAAACCAAGGTGGGGGGGGGGTGCTTCTAGAGTCACAAGCCCACAACTTGCCTCTCACCATGCTCTGAGGGGAGAGACAGTTCCTCCAGAACCTTGTGGGGTGGCACAGTCAGTTCCCCAATAGAAAAAGGATGGTGAGCTGACAAAAACAGCAGAAGTCTGAAGAGTCCACTGCAGAGTTGGGAGGGCCCCATGTGATGGAGGAGGAAGGTAGAAGTTGTATCCGCGGGAGGTACAGGTGGAAGGCGGGACTGAGTGGGGAAGGCCCTGGGACTCAGGAAGATGCGTCTGGCCAGACACAAAGCAACTCCATGTTTACCCCAGCCCGACTTTTGGTCAGTACCCATGCCTGGTTCACGCCCTGGACACATGGAGAAAGAAAAGTGAATTTAAGAAAAAAGATGAGGTTTTGCCTGAAAATAGCAGGAAGCCTGGCCAGGGAAGTCAGTGTGCAGGGGTAGGTGTTTGCTTAGAGCCAGGAGACCAGCAGCCCCGCGCTGGACACTCTATTTCTTTCATTGAATCCTCCTTACCCCTTCGGTGGGGAGTGTGAGCATCTCTCCACTGCACAGACAGAAGCCAGAGCTCGGCGTGCGTGGGTGGCCTGCCCAAGCTCACACCGGTAATGCGGGTCCTTCTCCCACCCCAGCTGGGCCCCCTTAACCAGCATCTGCACCCAGACCTCCACGCCTCCCCTTCGCAACAGCTGAGCACGGACTGCAAGGAGGGAGGGGAGGCACCACGGAGCCGCCTCGGGCGCGCCTGCCCCTCCGTCCGCACAGCCTCGAATCCTGCCACCTCCCGAGACTCGCATCAGGCCCAAACAACATTCACCTGGGCCTTCCAAACGCCCCGGGAACCGCACGCATGCGCGACGCTGGGGGTTCGGGACGGGGGTTGGGGGGCCGCGGGAGCTCAGCAGGGCGGGGTGACGACAGCGCCCGCTTTCCAAACTTACCTGGCGGGTGGGGACCCGGCGGGGGCGGGGGCAGGTGCCGGCCGCGCGCGCGTCGGCCCCGCCCTCAGCCTTTTCAGGCACCTGTTGGCTCGAGGGCCTACTCGGCCGCCGCTGCCATCCAATAGGCAGCCTCGCTGGCCCACGCTGGCCCCGCCCACAGCCGGGCCCGCCAATCCCCGCGCGGCCGCGGCCCCGCTCCCTCGGAGGGCCCGCCCCCCGGGCGCTGCTTCCGGGTGGGCCCGGGGCCGAGGCGATGGCGCCCTGGGCGCTCCTCAGCCCGGGGGTCCTCGTGCGCTCCGGGCACACCGTGCTGACCTGGGGGATCACGCTGGTGCTCTTCCTGCACGATACCGGTGAGCCGCACCCCGCGCGACCCCGGGCCCCCGACCCCACGGGGCTCCCGGACCTTTGGGGTTCACTGGTCCCCTGCGGAGCCCCAGGGATCCCGAGCGCCGAAGGATCCCTGACGCCCCACAGGCGCCTCCCACCCGCCATTCCAAGAGCCACCTGCTTTCCGCCTAAGACCCAGCTGATCCCGAGTTAATGACATCTCCCTGCACCCCAATACTCCGTCCATCCCATGCCCACTAAACCCAGCGACCAGCGGAGCCCCATGTCCCCTGATCCCAGTCTCCCCTCCTTAGGATTTCAGAGATCAACTAGATCAACCTGGGCTCCTAGCTGCCCACCTCCAGGCTCCCCACCCTCAGGCTGGAGAACACCCTGTTGGGGAGCCACCTGACCCCTGCCTTCCCATCCTTGCTTCTTGCCTGTTGGCACCCTGCACCTGCCCTGCACCTGCCCAGCCCCTGCGCCCCTCGGCCCTTCCCCTCCTCACCTGCCACGGGCTGCCTCAGTCAGGCTCTCACCCTCCCTCACTACCACTCACGAAGCCCCTAACTCCCTGCCCTTCCTCTGCCCCTGGGCGGCCCATCTCATTTTCCTCCCCAGCCCTCAAGCTTCCTCCACTGCCTTCACCCTTTAAGACAGCTCTGCTTCCCACCCCCCCTACCCCGCCCTCCTCAGACTCTCCTCTCCCCAAAAGCCTTAGTCACCTCAGTGGAGGGCTGGACCCCCCAGCCCTGGCTCCCCTCATTATTCCACTGCATCATTGGAACCTGTGGCCCGAGCTCCTGGTGCCGGCAGAGAGCTGTCCAGCGGGGGGCGGGGTGGGGGGACTTTCAGAAACAGATCTGACCCTGTAACCTTCTGGGCTCTATCACCCTGTGGATAAGAGCGCAGGTGAACTACTTTTCCTGATACTGTTGCACCCTGAACAGTGGCCACTCATCAGACGCCATCTCCAGGCCTTCACCTCAGCCATTGTAGCTGCACCCACGCCCGCACCCCCGTTGGGCTCTGGCCCTGGCCTCACTGTCCTCTTCTCGGCCCCTACAGCACTGCGGCAGTGGGAAGAACAAGGGGAGCTGCTCCCGCCCCTCACCTTCCTGCTGCTCGTGCTGGGCTCCCTGCTGCTCTACCTGGCCGTGTCGCTCATGGACCCAGGCTATGTGAACATCCAGCCCCAGCCCCAGGTAACCAGAGGGCTCCTGGGTGCCTGCACTGCCTCTCACCAATGGGGGACCCAAGCCACAATAAGGGTGTCATGCCAGGCTCTGTGCTGAGGAATTTCCCGGGGCAGCCCAGTGAATTCTCTTGCAGCCCTAGAACTTGATCCTCCAATGAAGAGATGGCATGGACCGCGACACCCACAGCCAGGATAAGCTGGGCCCCCAAAATAGGCACACCAGTGCCATCTGCCTCTCTAGGGGGCCCCATCTTAGACCCTGCTCTCCAAATTTCAGGAGGAGGTCAAGGAGGAGCAGACGGCCATGGTTCCTCAGGCCGTCCCTCTTCGGCGCTGCAGACACTGCCTGGTGCTGGTGGGTGATGCCAGGACCCCCATGGGAGGGGTTGGGGCAAGGTTGACACTTCCTGGGTTCCTCCTGCCCTGGTGCCTTGGCCTCACCCCTGCTCCAGGAAGGCCTCCCAGATTCAGGCCTTGACCGCGTGCCCTCCTCCCCGCCCCCCACCGTCGGATCCACTGGGAACCAGTGTGAGCCCCGACCCGCTCTGTGCCCACAGCAGCCCCTGCGGGCCCGGCACTGCCGTGAATGCCGCCGCTGCGTCCGCCGCTATGACCACCACTGCCCCTGGATGGAGAACTGCGTGGGGGAGCGCAACCACCCGCTCTTCATGGCCTACCTGGCGCTGCAGCTGGTGGTGCTCCTGTGGGGGCTGTACCTGGCATGGTGGGTCTCACCCCTCTGTGGGGGTGGAGGGTGGGCAGCCTGCACCCACAGGTGCAGCAGAGCCAGGGCTTTAACCCCTTTTCCCCAATGCCCTTCCCTGCGGCCCCTGCCCTGTCTGGGTTCCCACCCCTGTCGTGTCCTGTAGGTCTGGCCTCCGGTTCTTCCAGCCCTGGGGGCTGTGGCTGCGGTCTGTCGGGCTCCTGTTCGCCACCTTCCTGCTGCTGTTGCTCTTCTCGTTGGTGGCCGGCCTGCTCCTGGCCTCACATCTCTACCTGGTGGCCAGCAACACCACCACCTGGGAGTTCATCTCCTCACACCGCATTGCCTACCTCCGCCAGCGCCCCGGCAACCCCTTTGACCGTGGCCTGATCCGAAACCTCGCCCACTTCTTCTGCGGGTGGCCTTCAGGGTCCTGGGAGACCCTCTGGGCCGAGGAGGAAGAGGAAGGCAGCACCCAGGCAGCTTAGGGGCGCTGGAGGTGGCACTGCCACCTTGTGCCTGAAAACCAGAGGGTGCGCCCAGCCTGGAGCTCCCCACTTTGGGCCCGCTCTACCGGGCCTAGGAGCAGAGCAGTGAGAGAGGCCCCTGCCTCAGTGGGTGGGACCACCCTCCAAAGAAAGAAGGGGAGGAGGAAGATGTGTAGGGGTTTTGGACATAAACCAGCCGGGCTTTTGAGACAGCCCCCCGCTCAAGCCAGGCTGCCTCCAGTGCGGTTTTATAAATTTAATAACCCACAAAGCAAGTCAAGTATTAAAAAACACAACCAAACCACTCCTTGCTGTGCCCCCCTTTCTGGTCCGGGTCTCTCTGGGGTATGTGGGGGAGACTGCCCAAGGGCTGAGAGAAGCCCACGACCAGTGCCCCACAGCTGCCTCCACAGGCTCATAAATACCAGGCAAGACCTGGGCCTCCAGGGCAGGGTGCTGGGGCAGGCAAACGGCGCCTCTCTCTGTCCGGGGAGCAGAGGCTTGGGGGCAGAGGCTGGGAGGGTTCTCAGGGCTCCAGGAATCGCTCTGACACGAAGTCGAAGTCCCGGAAGGCGGCCTGTTGGCGGGTTGTGAGGTGGCTGCGGGGCTCGGGCGGCGTCAGGGTGGGCGGCAGCCCGGTGAACTCGCCCTCGAAGTAGCGCAGGTCTGTAGGGCCGCAGACAGTGGGCACGAAGGGCGGCTGGACGGCGCGGGCCAGCAGGGCCTGCCAGTCGGTGGCCTGGGGGCGAGAGCAGAGATGCCAGAGACGACAGAAGGGAGCCCAGCTGGTCACCGCACACCTCCCTCAGGCCGGCTCCAGCCCACCCAGACACTACACACCTCCCCCAGGCCGGCTCCAGCCCCCCAGTCACTGCACACCTCCCCCAGGCCGGCTCCAGCCCACCCCGTCACTGCACACCTCCCCCAGGCCGGCTCCAGCCCACCCAGTCAGTGCACACCTCCCCCAGGCCGGCTCCAGCCACCGTGCCCCGGAGCTCACCCTGAAGAAGGGCTGTGTCTTGATCTCCTCGGCATCCCGCTCGCCCGCCCCCAAGCGCTTCTCCGGGCACTTCTGGAGGAGCTGGCAGGAGGACAGGTGCTCCCTTAGGGTGCTTGGTCCCAGGCATGTCCGCCTCCCCGGCACCCCATGGGCGGTGGCAGGGGCCCATGAGCTATGGGCAACTCCAGCCCAGCCCCGGACCCTGCAGTAAGCACCTTCTGGATCAGCTCGAGCCCTTGCAGCGACAGAAAGTGGGGGTACGGTGCGTCTGCGTTGACGATGCAGTCAAACACCTCCTCCTCTGTGTCCCCTGGGAATGGGCACTGTGGGAGGGGGGCCTCAGTCTGGGGCCCAGGCCACCCACCCCACCTCGAAGCCCAACAGCGCCAGTCCAGCACTCACCTCGCCCACCAGCATCTCATAGAGCAGCACGCCCAGCCCCCACCAGTCCACTGCCCTCGTGTAGGCCTCCTGGGTCAGCACCTCCGGGGCCAGAAACTCCGGGGTGCCGCAGAAGGTGCTTGTCCGGTCCCCAAAGCCGATCCCTGCAAACCAACATCCCCACCCACGCTGGCTCAGTGTCTTGTCCACAAAAACCTCTGCGGTAGGAAGAATCAACGGCCAATCCTTCTCACCCCTTGGACGGAAGCCCGTGCCAAGCCCTGCCTGTACCCTCACTGCTGGGAAGGATTTCATGCCATCTGACTGGAGAGGAAGCTGAGTCTCAGCCAGGCTCACATGTCAAGGTCACGCAGAAAGCAGCCCGAGCATAGGCCCGGCCTCTGGTCAAGGGCAAACTGGGGCTCTTGAATAAGAGCTTCTAAGGCAGGGAAGGAATAGCCGCTGTGTTCCCCTGGGGTGAAGGCTGGGACAGGAATATCCCCTAGGAGGTGCCACCTCCCAGCTGGCCTAGCCTGGTTGAGTAAGGCGGACACCAGCTCCGGGGAAGGAGGACCCACCTTCCTTACAAAGCCCAAAGTCTGCGATCTTCAGGAAGCCCTGGGCATCCAGCAGGAGATTATCCAGTTTAAGGTCCCTGGGCGGGAGAGGGAAGGGGTAGTGGGGGGAGGGAAGGTCCAGGAGACTGAGGAAGACCTAGGCCCAGCAGACAGCAGGCCCTGCCCCAAGCAGCCCCTGCCCCACTCCCCCAGCAACTCGAGGCAAGTTACCTGTAAATGATCTTCTTTTCATGTAAGAACTGCAGCCCCAAGAGCACACAGGACAGGTAGAACCTGGAGGGGTGCATGGGGAGGGGTGGTTCAGGCCCAGGACAGCAGGGACAGGGCAGGAGACAAGGATGGCCATGGCCTGGGGAACCCTGGATATCCTGGCCAGAGTCAGAGTCAGATGTGGACCAGAGACGGGGACGAGACCCCTGTCTGGGTGGGGTAAAGTCCTCCAGCCCCACGGTCATCCAAGGTTACTGCCAGTCCTTTCTAGATGATGGCCAGTGTACTCACACCTCATTCTCAGCAGCCTGCTGCTGATACTCGTCGTGCCTATTTTTCAAATGAGGATTTGAGACTCCAAGGAAGTGACCCCGTGTCAGGGTCACACCGCTAGTGGCCAAGCTGATAGGTGAACCCAGACTCCGGAGCCCATACTCTGGAAACAGCAACTCCAGCTGCAGGCCGCTCATGTTCACAGGTCCCTGTGCCTGGCAATTTATAAATGTTTTGCTCATCTAGGCGACAAGTCTATGAAATGGCTATTATTAGCCCAAATTGCAGCTACATAAACTGAGGCCCAAGGGGGCAAATGCTGTGAGCACTGATACCCAGGATCTGAATCAAGGCCCCCTGACTCCACACCCTTTGTGATGGGCAGGAGGAGGACAGGCAGGCGGGAACCCACCGGGCCTGGGGCTCTGGGAAGACGTCCTCATGGATATGCATCATGAGGTCACCGCCGGGCGCGAACTCAGTCACAAAGCAGGCGTGGCTGGAGGTCTGGAAACAGGCCAAGAGGGACAGCAGGAAGGGGTGCCCAGTGCAGCCCACAGCTTCCAGGATCCGCTTCTCACAGTACAGGCTGCAGGGGAAAGCAAGGAAACCAGGAAAGCACTCCTGGTTCACTGGTCCCGCAGGCCAAGTGCCAGGCAGGGAGAGCCATGGTTTTGATGTGTCCGGGGTTCTCAAGGGTCAGTGAACCTGACCATGACCCTTGTCCCAATTTTTTAAAAGATGTATTTATGTATGCATACAAGTGCTGGGGTGCAGGCCAGAGGTGCGGGGAGTGAGAGGATTCACCAGAGACAGAGCGGGGAACAGAACAGGCAGACTGACTGAAATACACTGCTGAGGGGAGCAGCAGGGAGACAGGAGAGGTGGGCTGTGCCATATGGGTAGCTCCCTGGCCGGGAATTGAGCTTGTGCTGCTGCAGTGGCTGCAGATAGCTTCATAGTGCTGAGACTTAACCCCTTGCGCCACCAGGGAGGCCTCTCATCCCCATTTTACACATGAGGAAACACGTGCAGAGAAGTAACCTGCCCAGAACACCGTAATTAACTGCAGGGGCTAAAAAAAGAACCCAGGACTGGCTGGCCCCATGGGGGCACCTCCTCAAAGCCCCAAGAGTATTCAGGTGCCCTCCATCGCCCACAGTCCAGGCAGCATCGGGTGCCCAGAGCCCCCCAGTGGATCCAGCACACACCTCTCTATCTCATCCCGGCTCAGCACCTCTTGCTTCTTCAGTGCTTTGATGGCATAGTATTTCCCTGTGCCCTTGAACTGGACCAGGAGGACCTGGGGACCAGAGAGGCTGGGCTGTAGGTGGGCATTTCAGGGGAGCCTTCACTTCCCCCACCCACTAGCCCACAGGTGAGTGGGTCAGTGTCCTCCTAGCTAAGGTGCCGGGGCCTGCCCACTCCCTCCAGCACCCCCTCCCTCCTTAGCCACTACCTTCCCAAAGTGCCCTCGACCCAGCACAGCCAAGCAACGGAAGTCCTGGAGCCGAGGGGCTTTCCTGCAAGAGAGAGAGGGTGAGCAAGCACCCGGGACAAGGGCTGGGCCTCTACCAAGAGCCGCTCCGACCCTCCAAGCCCAGTCCTGCCACTCTGCTGATGGTGGAAGGGGCTGGAGAGCCTGGTGTCGGCGTCACGGCTGGAGCTCAGGAACAGGGGCTCAGGAGCCAAGCCCTACGCGAGTCAGGGACTGTGCCACTGGAGCCCCAGGGTGGTGTGTGACAGATGTACAAACACCAGGGTGAGGTTGATTGGATACCTGGTGGCTGCGGCTGGTGGAGACGACCCAAGGCGAGTCCTTGGCTCCATGTGGGGGCGTTTGGTGCGCTGCAAGGGCAGGGGGCTCAGGACAGAGCAGGAATCCCCTCCCTCTTTCCCTACAGCCCTGCCACCCCCACACAGGCACCTCAGGGCCCCACCACATCCCTGACCAACCCAGGAGGCTCCCCCCACACCGGTATCTCTTCAGGGGTTGGCTCTGGAGGCAGGTAGAGTCGTGGGGGCTTGGGTGGGGGTCTCGCCCCTTCTCCTAAGGGGGTCTTCTTGGGCTGGAGGTTACTGTGGTGAGGAAAAAACACAAGGCCGAATACAGGCAGATGGGGGGATGGACATACAGCCATGGAAGACAGACAGCTCAGAGGGGGAGCAACAGAGATGGGGGCACTGCCCAGAGGCGGTCTCCACAGGCAAGCAGCCTGGAGCCAGGGCGCTCCTACCTGGGAGAGGCAGAGTCAGTGGCCCCCCGGCGTGTGGCTGGCGTCTGGGGGCACCCTTTGGGGGGGCTGATGGTGCTTGGAGAGCTGCAAGGAGGTAGCAGGCTCATGACCAAGCGCCCCCAGGCTGCCATGCTGAGGTTCATCTGGGAAGCCCTCAGGAAGTCCTGACCTGGGGTCAAAGAGGGCTCAGTGCAGGGACCCCAGACGGCCCCAGGCCTGCTCCCTACACCGCAGCCCTCGCCCCTGCACACCTCTGCGTTTAGAGAAAATGCGTTTCTGCCTCTGTAGCCGGGGCCTTCTCTCAATGACTGGGTCACAGAAGGTCACCTGTGGGGGCAGGGGGCAGGGCTTGAAGACCAATCCCTCCTACCCATCCGCCACGGGCCCTCGTAGGTCTCCAGAATCCCAGCCGAAGCCCCCAGTGTCAACGGATGCCAGAGCCAGAAAGGCCCAGAGAGATGGATTCAATGTCCTCGTTGGGACCACAGGAGGCAACAGGCCCAGAGGAGAGCTGTGTGTCCAGGGTCACCAGTCTGAGTCTCAGAGGGACTGGGAATACTTCATTCTTGGAGACCTCTTCCCTCCGGGCCTCAGTTTCTACCCCTCTGCATGAGGGGGTGGGGCTGGGGGGATGTCACACAGTTTCAAAGGCCCTTCCAAGCCCCATGGGGCCCAGAGCCTGAGAGGTCAGAAGGCAGGGTCAGCAGGTACCTGGGCAAAGAGCAGCCCCTGGGGCACCAGGCTGAGGGAGAGCTGGTGACAGGCATTGTCCAGGAAGTCCTCCAGCCGCAGGAAGGCCACACCACATAGCTGCCGCCAGTCCCGCCAATGCACCCCAATCTCCAGCTCTCGGGCCTGCATCAGGGAGGCAGGGTGAGGGGCAGGCCATGGCACCAGCCCCTGCCCGGGGAGCCTTCCACCTGGTGGCCTGGGTCACTCCTGACCACACAAGGGCCAGCCTCACCCTCTCCAGGGGGACAATAAAAGTCTGGTCCCAGGACTGTTTGGCAACCGGTCCCCAACCTGTCTGGCCCACGACACGATTATCCACCTTCAGCACGGCCAGCACCTCACCTGCAGGGACAAAGCAGGACTCAGGGCAGGCCAGGAGTAGAGGCCCTCCCCTCAAAGGCCCCAGCAACCTCCTACTCACAGGCCAGCTCGCCTTGGCCCCGCTGCTGCTTGACCCTGCCCCGAAGCCAGCCCTGGGTGGGGTTCCCGGCCAGCGCGGCCACAGGTGACCGTCCGGGCACAGCTGTCAGCAGCTGCTCACAGCCTAGGAGGTGGACCTGCAGGGTCCCTGTGGGGGAACAAGGGGAAGGGGATGGCGTCAGGTGTCATCCTCCCACTGCCACTACCCATGTCCTCCTGGGCCCTCAGGAATCCTGCCTGGCTCCTGGCAGTGGCTGAACCCAGCCACCACCCATGTTAGGCCTTGGTAGCCACCTGCCACCCCCAGGACACATCCACTGGCCTTCCACCTTGCACTTGGGGCAACAGGGACACATGGATCTCAGCCAGGCTGCCTGTTGCCACAGAACATGACTACATGCTGCTCCAGGCTCGGGGTACAGGGAGCAACAAGGCAGGAACCAGAACTTGGGGCAGGAAGTCTGGCTGCCCATCCTGTCTCACCACCTCCCTGGGCCTCCCCTCCCCAGCTCTGCTCCCCTCCTGCAATGGCGGCAAAGCAAGTCTTGCCAATCAAGGGCATTCATTTTTAGTCACTCCAGTTATGGCCTTCAAAGGATGGAGGAAGCTGTAGCACTAGCAGCTCCTGAGGACAAGCTGGCCATATGAGCACCATTTAGGAAGTCCAGGCCTGGAAGTTACACTCATATAAGCAATGACAACCCTCAGGGTAGGAAGAAAATCTTAGGAAGACCAACTGGGATGTTCCTTAAGGAACTAGGATATTTAACTGGAATATGGGGTTGCCCCAAGTTGCTGACTTGGGGCATTTTAATAATTTGTCACTCCTGACTTCCCCCATTTGTCTACCTGGTCAACTCCCAGAGGTCCTCAAAGCCAAGCTCAGATACCAGCTCTTCCAGGAAGAACTCCTTGATTCCCCAAGGCCAGGTGAGGAAGTCCACCCAGCCCCTGCATGTCCCCTTCTCAGTTTTGTTCACAAGGGGCTGTCTGCCCTGCTCAGTCCCAGACTTTCTAGTTGTGTCCCAGGAGGGGAGCTCAGGCCTTCCCAGATCATTTGTTGATGGCAATTCAGCTGCTGCTGCAAGGAGAGAGCTCCAGACCCCCCAGGGCTCCCCAACACTCATTCTGTAAGCATTGCCATGGTTACTCATTTAAACAGCAGCTCCATTGATGCCAACACTGTGCTTACTTCACGAGTGACCACTGAATTGTCACTGCAACCCTCTGAACTAACTGCCAACTTCATCCCCATTTTAGAGATGGATACACTGAGGTTCAGAGATGTCAGTTGCCCCAGGTTACAAGCCGGTGGGTGGTGAAGCTAGGACTAGAACTCGGCTACCTGTCAGGGCAGTGGGCTTCACAAGTGCCCCTGAAGGCTGGGGGTTCCCAGACGCCACAGTCCGAAGCTCCTGGGCCACTCTGCCTCGCAGGGGATGGGCAGGGGGCAGTCCCTCCAGCAGCTGCTCCAAGGCCAGCCGCAGGAGGTCCAGTTTCTGGGAGGACTCCTGGAGCTGGGCCTGGGCCTGCAGAGGGTACATGGGCCAGGTAGGCAGCAGCTCAGGCTACCTGGAGACCCCCACAATGAGGTCCAGACACAATGCGCCCCGTTTCCTCCCTGCCACCCACATGGCTAGTCCATGTCCATGCAGAGGGTGGTGTGGGAACAAGGAGAACTTCAGGGAGGGAGCCAGGGCCTGACCTCGGCCAGTGCCTTCCGGTCCTGGGCCCGCCGGCCACCCAGCAGCTTCACCACGTTCTTGGCCCCCTCGGCCACGGCAGCCTCGATGTGGAGTCGATGCCGCAGCTCTTCCACCAGCAGCTCCGGACCTAGGAGGAAGGAGTCAGCCCCCAGACCCAGGTCCTGCTCAGGCGGCCCAGCCTTGCCTCCCAGGGCCTCACCTGGCTCTGGGGACCCACTGGCCTCCAGGCTGCTGATCTTCATGCGCAGCAGGGCCACCTTCAGCTGACTGTCCCGCAGCATCTGCTGGGCAGCTGCCAGGAGCTTCCTCTCCTATGGGGGAGTGGCCCACGCTCCATCAGACCAGGTCAGGCCGGCCCCCCCTCAGACCCAGGCTGAAACCATACCCGCCTCGGAAGGGCAGACACTAGAGACTCCCCTTCCCTCTCACACCAGCACCGGCGGAGGTCCAGCCTCCCCCATCAGATCAGGCCGAGGCCAAGGCCCCCTCGCCTCAGCTCAGGGCCCTGGGGAAGTTGCTCACGTTTGAGCACCCCACATTGTGCGGGGGGGTTGGAACTAGAGCTGGACCGGGCCCCGCCATTTGGTGGATGTTGGACCCCGTTCTTAGACTAAGGGTCAGAGCCACCCCTTCAGCACCAAGCAGCTGTGATTTGGGCGGTGCCTTGCCCGGCAGATGAAGGCTTACAGCTGTGTCTCCCTTGGGGTCAAGGGCTGGGGTGCAGTGCCCTATCAGGATAGGGGCTGGGGCAGCACCTCCCCTAATAAGCTGAGAGCCCATCTCCCCCTGCTAGTTCTCAGGGGCCTTACCTTGGGGGTGCCACTGGCATACGTGTGGGTCATGTTCTCAGCCCCCTGCTTCACTTTAAGCTCCACCTGCAGCTGCCTCTGTAGAGCCTCCAGCTGCCGGGCCCTGGGCTGCTCTGCTGACGGGGGTGCTCCTGAAGCCACAGGTTCTGTGGACACGGAGGGTGGAGATGTGAGCCCCTCACCCTGAGTAGAGTGCCCTCCCATGGTCTAGCTCATCCCATGCCCTCCTGGGCAGAGGCGACCAGAGGGGAGAGTTGAGGCTGGGGCCGGGGGGCTGTCCCAGGTGATGCAGAGCCCCCACTCACCCCTGGCCACGGGCCCGGGGCTGGGCAGCAGGACGCGGGCGTGCAGCTCCCGCAGCTCGCCGTGCAGCTGCTCCAGCCGGCGGTTGGAGGAGCGCAGCAGCTGCTGCACGTGGCCCAGGTGGCGGCGGTCGGTGGCCACCCGCCGCAGGTTCTCCACACCCTCCTTGATTTTCAGCTCCTTCTGGATGGCACGACGGATTGCCTCCTTCTCGTCCTCTGGGGGCCGCTGCTCAGGCCCAGGCTGTGAACGGCAGAGGAGTCACTCTGCCCATTCTGGGGTCACCAGCCTCAGCTCACCACAGGCAGAGGGGAGGGAGTATAGACGGCACCCACAACTGACCAGAGGGCAGGTGTTCCCAAATCAGACGGAGGCCCCAGGCTAGTTCTCTGGCCAGGGCTCAGGCCTTAGAGGCCCTGGGGAAGTTGCTCACGTTTGGGCAGTGCGGCTGGGGGCCAGGGCCCAGTCAGGAGCTCTGCATACATTGACCTGTCGGTCCTCGCAGCCACCCCATGAGATGGATAGGGTTATTAACCCCATTTCACATATGAGGAAACTGAGGCAGGAAGTTAGGTAACCTGCCCAACACAGGCGCGGCCACTGTCTCTTGGACCCAGCCTCTCCACCCAGCCATGCTCCTCCTGGCCGCCTGAAGTCTGGGATCCAAGTTAAGAGCGGGGGCAGAAGCTCAGGCTGAGAAGGGATCTCCAAGGTCCCAGAGTCAGGGCAGCTGGAGCAGGAGGAAGCAGGGCCTCTGGGGACAAAGCAAAGGCACAGAGAAGCGCTGGGGGTGGGGTCACTCCGCACTGGCTCCTGGGAGAAAGCAGAAGGCTCTTGCTTCTCTACTCCAGGTTGGAGCAAGGAAAGGAGAAAGCCTTCCCAGAGGCGAACACTTCAAGCCAAACGATGCCAAAGCTGACCTCAGCTCAGGGTAACCCATGATGCCCCCCACCCCGTGCCGGGAACTCTTACAGGGCCTTCGCCTTACCTCTCTGCTCGCCATCTCCTGAGCCCAGTGGAAGGGTGGCCACTCCAGCCTCAGGGACCCCCACCCCCCAGGCCTCGGCTGGGCTGGCTGGCCTGCTTGTCAGAGGGCAGGGGTGGGGCTCAGGAAATCCTCTGACGGCCCTAGGCAAGAGGGCCAGAGCCAAGGCCTGAGCAAACAAAGATCCCATGGAGCTGGGGGCCTGGCCACCGGGGTCCTGAGTCACCCAGCTGCCTCTCCAGGGCGGAGGTTCACAGGAAGTTGGAAAAAGTGTACAAGTCACTGCTGCAAGAGGTGGAGGGCCCTCGCAGGAAGGGGGGCAGCCCTGCAGGGTGCCTAAGCCGTGAGGTGGGGGCACTGAAGGTGTCAGGTCTGGGACACCTCACCCTGAGCACCCCCTGGCCTTTCCTGGCTGGAGTCCTGCCCAGCACATGGCCTCTCCCTTTCTGCTCTGCTGCTGGGACCCCAAGTAGTGCACAAAAGCCCCACACCCACTGCTCTAGGCTGGGGGGCCACCTCGCCCTCCCCAGTGAGGGGCACAGCAGCCTTGCCCCCCCCCCCGCGCCCACAGAGGCATCCCTGCCAGATCTGGCAGGAACCCGCCCCCCCCCGCCCCCCCCCCCCCCCCCCCCCCCCCCCCCCCCGCCTTTGGGGCTGGAACCCTCCGGGCATCCGAGGCTCCCGCCCGCGGGGCGCGGGGCCAGGCCCTCCCTCTCGCAGCAGCACGACGAGCTTCGGGAAGGACCCCCACGGGTGAGCGAGGTTGGCCCTTCTCCCGCGCGCACTTTTGCCCGGCCCCGCCCTCCCCGAAGCGCCCCTCGGCCTTCCCGGCCCCTCCCGCCCGCCCAGCGCCCCACCTGGGGGAGCCCAGCTCAGGCGACTGGGACCCTCCCCGGCGCCCCGACTGCAGCTGGAGCCGCGCGCGGCTGGCCCGCCCGGGGCGCGCCGTTTCTGGGGCTCTCCGGGGGCGTTTGCAGGCGGGCAGCGCGACTTACCGCTCGGCTCGGGTCTGCCCGGGGGCGCGTCGCGGGGCCCCGGGCCGGGCCTGGGAAGGGGCCCCGGGGGGGCCCGGGGACGCGGCCGGGGCCGGCGGCGCCCGGGGCGGGGAGGGAGGCGCCCCCCGCCGCCCGCGGCCCGCGCCCCGGCCTCCCCGCGCGCCGTCCACCTGCCGCGGCGCCCCCTCCTCCATGGCGCCCGCGGCCGCCCGGCCCCTCCCCTCGGCCTCGGGCTCCGGAAGCCCCGGCCCCGCGCCCGGACTTCCAAACTCCAAACTTCCCGGGCAGCGGCGCCGGAGCCCGGGACGCGCGCCCCCTCCCGAGCCGGCCGGCGCTCCCGGGCCTGGGCGCAGCCCCGCCTCCGGCCGCGCGGGGGCGCGGGGACCCCGAGCGCGAGGCCCGGCGCCGCCCCGGACGCGCGGCTCCGCGGGGGCCCCGCTGCGGAGGCCGGACCCCGCGCCGCAGCCCCGGCCCCGCCGGGGCGGGACAGGAAGGGGCTTCCCCGGGTCTCCGCCGCCCGCCGCCCGCCCGAGGGCGCCCGGGGAGGGACAGCGCCGCCTGCCGCCCGCGGGCCTCCGCCTGCGACGGTCGCGCGGCCGGGGCAGCCTCCGCGGCCTCGGAGCCCGCCGCCGCCCGGCTCCCGCCCGCGGGCCTCCCGCCGGGGGCGTGGCCGGGGCGCCGCGAGCGAACCCCGACCCCGCGGGGTGCCCGCCCGTCTGCCCCGCGGCTGGAAGAGCGTTCGCAGCGGGGACCGCGAAGCCTCATCCAAGTGATGCCAAGTTACGGGGGAGGAAACCGGACGCCCCAGGCTTCCATCACGTCACCCCACGGGCGCCCCCAGTCGCGCCAGAACCGAGTTCCACCGTCGCCCCGAGAAGCCCATCTACCCGGAGGCTCACTGACACCTGGAGGAACGCACCGAGAGCCCCCGGCCCGCACGAGGCGCGTCCGTGCCGGGGGATATGCTGGTCCGGCCTCCGGAGCCTTCCTGGCATCCTGCACTTTCAGCCAGGACTCCGCTGGAAGGTGCTTCCTCCAGGGGCTGGAAGCGGCTGTGGCGGAGGGGCTACTTCTGCCTTGAGGTGGGCACCCCCCAGGGCTGTACCGAGGACAACCACAGCCCTCTGCTCTGACCAGGTCCTCACCAAGGACTAAAGTCACACTGGCAAGCCTTGGATAGTCCTGAGGTGTCCTGTGACAGCAAATCAACCAAGAAACAGGTCTTTGCCGAGGTAACTTGGTTCACTGGGGATAAACCTAGACTTCATCATCAGAGGCGAGTGGTGACAGGGTGGCCAAAGAGGGCTGGACGTTAAAAACAAGCAGCCGGCACTCAGTAGGATCTTTCCAATGGGGGTTATCAAGCTGTCCTAAGCTGAACATTAACCGTAGTTTTTAAAATTATGTGGTTTTTTTATTTTATTTTATTTTTTTAAAGAGAACCAGCTCGGTTGAAACTTTATTTTTTATTTTAAGATTAATTTATTTATACAAGCACTGGGTACAGTCAGAAGCACGGGAGGGTGAGAGAATTCACCAGGGGAGGCCCTGTTTTAATTTTTTTTAAAGATTTATTTATATATATAAGAATCAGGGTACAGGCCAGATGTGCTGGAGGGTGAGAGGATTCACCAGACAGAGCGGGGAGCAGACCAGGCAGACTGACAAAATATACTGCTGAGGGGAGCAGCAGGCAAGACAGGAGATCCCACATGCTGTGCCATGTGGGATTCTCGTCGGCCAGGATCGAACCCTTGCTGCAGAGGCTGCGGACAGCTTCACAGTGCAGCACTCAACCACCTGCACCACCACGGAAGCCCATTAACCGTAATTTTTTTTTCAAGATTTATTTATGCATACAAGAACTGGGGTGTAGGCCAGAGGTGCGGGCAGTAAGAGGATTCACCAGAGACAGTGTGGAACAGAACAGGCAGATCTACTGAAATACACTGCTGAAAGGAGCAGTGGGATACAGGAGAGGTCTGCTGCGCCATGTGGGTAGCTTCCTAGCCGGCCAGTGGATGAAATTCATGCTGCAGAGGCTGAAGATAACTTCCCCGTGCTGTGCTTAACCCCTTGTGCCACCAGGGACGCCCTTAACTATAATTTAACAGCAAAAAAGTTTCTAACTGTAGGTCAAAGGTTTGAGGAAAAAATGAATCAAAGTAGTCAAGTTGCCTCTTTCTGAGGGGTCTAATTTCCCACTTGAGGACTATTTATTCATTTCTGCAGCCAAAAAACAAAATATGTGGAAGAATTCATGATGGTTTTTCAGGGGAGCAGTGAAGAGTGTCACTGCCTTAGCATCATGAAGGGAGAGTTCAGAAGCAGAAGAATGAATCCATCTTTTCTGCTGAACCCCAGGCTGGGCAAACCTACAGGGAACCCAAGTCCTGGACTGATGAATGGCCACGTCTGATGTGAAGGCACCACGTGAGATCAAGGCTTAGGAAAACTTTAGTCCAAGTTCTTCAACATCAGTGGACAAAAAATAGTGTTGGGCCTCCCTGGTGGCGTAGTGGTTGAGCTCTGGGTTGCGAAGCTGCCCGCAGCCTCTGCAGTGCCGGCTCCATCCCCAGCCACAGGGCATGGGTCCCACATGGCGCGCAGACCTCTCCTGCTGCCCGCTGCTCCCCTCAGCAGTGTACTTCGTCAGTCTGCCTGTTCTGCTCCTCGTTCTGGCTCTGGTGAATTCTCTCGCCCTCCCGTGCTTCTGACTGTACCCAGTGCTTGTATGAATAAATAAATCTTAAAAAAAGTGTTCAAGTCCACTATTTCAACCATCAACCGGTAGGAATCTGGAAGGAAATGTGTACTTTTTCCTTCTCCACGTTGCACAAACGCCAGTCGGTCTACATTTAAATTTTTTTTTTTAAAGATTTATTTATTTATACAAGCACTGGGTAGAGTCAGAAGCGCGGGAGGGTGAGAGAATTCGCCAGAGCCAGAGCGGGGAGCAGAGCAGGCAGAAGGACCGAAGTACACTGCTGAGGGGAGCAGCGGGCGGCAGGAGAGGTCTGCGCGCCATGCGGGACCCTCCTCCGGTGGCCGGAGAGCAGCCGGGGATCGAACCGGCGCTGCAGAGGCTGCGGGCAGCTTCGCAACCCAGCGCTCAACCGCTGCACCACCGGGGAGGCCCGGTCTACATTTAAATTTGCTTTCCTCAATAGTATCTGAAAACAGAGACCACCTGATCAAGTTGGCATATACCTTCCCCGCTACAAGTCTTGTTATTCTAATTACTTCCACTCAGGCATGTGGAAAAGCCACATGTTGGGCCTCCCTGGTGGCACAAGGGGTTAAGACGCAACCTATGAAGCTGTCCCCAGACTCTGCAGCATGAGTTCAATCCCCAGCCAGGGAGCAACCCACATGGCACAGCAGACCTCGCCTGACTCGCCCACTGCTCCCCTCAGCAGTGCATTTCAGTAGATCTGCCTGTTCTGCTCCCCGCTCCGTCTCTGGTGAATTCTCTCACCCCCCACCTGTGGCCTGTACTCCAGCCCTTGTATGCATAAATAAAGCTTTAAAAAAAAAAAACAAACCACACACGCAAAAGGGTAGAAGACGGACTTTGTAAAATAAGGTATGTCCAGTTTCAACATTGAAATAGTTGGACATCAGGCCTCCCCAGTGGTGTAGCGGGTTGAGTGCAGCGCTGTGAGGCTGTCCACACAGCCTCAGCAGCACCAGTTTGATTCCCGCCTGGCCTGGGGAGATTCCCACATGGCACGGCAGACCTCTCCTGTCTCCCCCGCTGCTCCCCTCAGCAGTGTATTTTGGTCCTTCTGCCTTTTCTGCTCCCTGCTGTCTCTGGTGGATTTTCTTACCCTCCTGCGCCTCTGGCCTGTCCCCAGTGCTTGTATAAATAAATAAATCCTTTAAAAAAAAAAAAAAAAGGAATAATTGGTCATTGCTTTCTAAAGGATTGGTCTGTCTTCAGGAAAGCATGCAAGTCTCTCTTTACAACAGCTTATCATTCATCATTGGCCAAAACGAATTCATAACAAAAACAAAAAAGGCAGAAAAGTCATGTTTCTGGGGCCAAATAAATGGAACCCTGAAAGCAATTGTTATAAAGCAGTAATGGCCTCCCTGGTGGTGCAAGGGGTTAAGACGCAACCTCCGAAGCTATCTGCAGCCACTACAGCACAGGTTCAATCCCCGGCCAGGGAGCTACCCACATGGTGCAGCAGACCTCTCCTGTCCCACAGCTGCTCTCCCCAGCAGTGTATTTCAATCTACCTATTCTGTACCCCACTGTCTCTGGTGAATCCTCACCCCCCAGCACCTCTGGCCTCTTCCCCAGTTCTTGTATGCATAAATAAATCTTAAAGCAGAAGTGATTGGCCTCCCTGGTGGCCTAGGTGTCAAGTCTCAGTGCTACTAACTGCAACAACAGCACCAATGGCCCAATTTCAATCCCGGCCAAGGAGCTGACCCACATGGCACAGACCTTTTCCTATCTCACCTCCTGCTCCCCTCAGCAGCGTATTTCAGTAGATCCGGCTGTTCTGCTCCCCACTGTCTCTGGTGAATCCTCACTTCC